AAGTTTAGTTAATATGGTCTTAAATTCTTGGTTAGGAAACTTAGGAGTCGTTTGGTTATTATATTATAGAGCTTGTTAAAGAGTCATATTGAATTAAAATGCTTTAAAATGAGTTGATACTTAGATTTAGATGAAAAAATTAATTTGTATTTGATGATACCCAAAATACGCATAAGATTGAGCTCGGGCATTTAGCTTGGATCAATCAGCTCGTCACATATAACTAGGGGATGATGAGGTCGACACCTCTTGCCCAACAACGGCACCCTCATAAGAACAACAAGGATGATAGTTGGCTTTCACCCAAGCGCCACACAAAAATTGTAATGGTCTTATATTTGGGTAAGGAAATCACAACCACCTCAACGTTATCCACGACAATTACATAATAGGCACAACCGTAACAAGAAGGAGGCAAGGATCATCGGAGATCAAGCAAGGCACTAGAAGAGTATAAATAAGAAGCATATTCCTCACAAAAAACAACAAGCAACTAGCCTAAACAAATAATCTGTGTAATCTTCTTCCTTTTATCAATAAAATTATCCCGAGGAGCAAGAGACTCTCTTGAGAGTGGATTAGTCGAGCTTCCAAACTGGTGAACCACTATAAACTCCATGTGTACAATTCCCCATCTCCCTTGTTCAACTCTTAAGAGCTTAGGAGCTCTAACTAGGTCACATAGTGATACCCAAGGAATCCTCAAGATCATAAGCTCCTGTTCAATTGTGCGACATACACATATGTCTGTCAAAATCCGACATGACATAATTAACTGACACGAATTAAGCGGGTTTGAGTAATAAACGGGTTGACACGGCAAACATATTTAATAAATAGGTGGTGTTCAGGTGAGACCTGTCAAACCGTTTATCACATGTTTTTTCTGTTAAAATAAAATTAATATAATAATAAATTAAAAATTATTTTAAAAAATTAGTAAGAAAAAAAGAAGTAAAGAATCAATAAAAAAAAGAAGTAAAATAGTAGTTCAAAGACAAATGAAATGAGATGTGTAGCACTTCAAAAACAAAGGCAAACCAATGCCTTTTATTTTTGTCCCATATTGAAAAATGAGGGGAGATGGGAAGGGCTAAGTTACCCATAAAAAGTAATGATCTCTTACTTTTTTGTTTTAAGCTTTCAAGTCTTATTTTTATGAGATTTGACTAAAAATTCTTTTTATTTAAGGTAAGTACAATTGACAATAAAAAAAAGTTAATTATTAAAATTTGTTGATATAATTTTTTTTAAAATTAAACGGGTTAAACGAGTTGTGTCGTGTTATCCGTTTATTAAACGGGTCGTGTTCGTGTTGAGATTTTTTACCCGTTTATTAAACGTGTCTTGTATGGGTATATATATTTTTCACCCATCACCCATTTAACTCAACACGTTTGATATCCCTACACACACACCATACTATATTAAATTAAAATGCTTTAAAAGGAGATGCAAAAAATTAATTCGTATTATATATGGGATTAACTAAAGAAGTATATTGAACTTAATACTTATTACTCAACTCTTAATATCGTATATAACGAATATTTGACTAGATTTGACATTATCTTTATCCATGTTTTAATCTTAGATTTTATCCATCAATCTAAGATTGTCCATATCTATATAATAAAACACAATACAATTCAAATCTCAAAAGATAAACAAAATGACTTTTGTTATTCGCGGCTGAGATCTCTTTAAATTTTACTTTAAAGTTAAACTGACATCTAATATTAACACTCCAAATTTAATAGAAAAAATAGACTTCTAAATGTGTGTTTGGAGTAAATTTTTAAAAGTGCTTCTACAAATTATTTCTCATAAATATTTTTTTTTTTAAAATACTGTTTGGAACCGCCCCACCACCATCACCCCCACCCCTACCCCCACCATTGTTGCTGCCGCCACCACCACCACCACCACTATCGCCATTTTACCACACTCGCCACCACCATTATCATTGTTATCATTACTGTTGCCACCACTACCACCACCGCTGTTGTTGCACCCTACCACCACCGTCATTGTCCCATCATCACCCCTAACACTACCACCTCCACCCCCACCGCCACACCACCACCCCCACGACTATCACAACTACCACCACTGCCATCGTCGCCAAACTCCCAGTACCGCCGTCACCCCCACCCCCACCCCCTCGTAGCTATAACCATCGTCACCCATTACGATTGTTACCACCGTCGTCCACCGCCACCACCCACCATTATCGTCATCTTATTTTTATATTTATTACGATTACCATCATCATCCCACTACTACCATCGCCCACCACCAGTAGTCGCCCACTACTGTCACCAACTACTGTCACCCACCCCTATCACACCTACCATCACCACCAATCATCGCCCACCACTACAACTATCAACTGTCACTTACCCTCACCACACTTATTGCCAATACCATCATCGTCTTTTGTCACCACCCATCACACTGTCATCTAAAAGCGCACATCGTCGCCCACCACTATCACTGTCAACCCCCATTTCCGTCATCCACCACCACCATCACCATTATCGTCATCACCTACGACTGCCACTACTGCCATTGTCACCCAAAATCCACGACTACCATCACCGTTGTCACCTATGGCTTCCACCACCACCACGGTCATCGCCACCCACCACAACCATCACCGTCTCCCACCACCATTACCACCACTACAATCGGTGATTAAATTCTTTTTTCTTTCATTTATGTTTGTGATTTGATTTTAAATATGAATACAAATATATTTATTGTTAAATATTTTTTTTATTACTATGTAGCTTCAGACACGAGGAATAATTAGTTCTCCAATATAGTCCCTCTTTTCTTAATACGGTATTCAAACTACTCCTTGTTGTTTCAGATTATTAGTTGTGACAATTACAATTCATGCACCATCTGATCTTTGTGATACAATGACCCAATTGATATTATGATTAAGATTAATAGATTGACGAGATAATGAAACTGGTCATTCCAAAGTCACAAAATAAAATTTGTTCAAAGAAACTGTGCGTGCTGATTTTTGCACAATAGTCAAAATGAGAACAGATCTCTCACACTATAAACTCTGGTTTATCGAGAAAGTGGTTATGACGGAATGGAAAAAGGTTGAGTGGGACAAAGGGAGCTTAGATAGTAGTAATAGTTTGCTTTTGGGTTATCCAATTGACTCTAGTTGGGATTCGACCCGTCAGGATGATAGTTCCAGCAACAAGAAACAGGTTGAGAGGGACAAAAGGGTCCCAAAGGCTGGTGATGAATTACTGCTGGGGGTGTCAAGCTGGTTCCGGAGATTTATGAGGGATTCCTAATACACAGAAAACAGGTTAGAAGGGTGCCGGAGTGCTCTCTGACGTATCCATTCCAACAATCAAGACAGCTATTTTAGAGAGGGAATGAAGAAAACACTATATGACTCTTGTGAAGCAATGTTGTGTACCTTTGCAATGTGTTTTTGAGGACTATTTATACCTTCAAAGACTCATCATTGCTGATAATCTAGACTACTGGTAGCCTTCAGAGGTGGGACAATGTGCCCCTTACTTTTGATGGGAAATATCCTAGTATTCATTGTTCGGCTTGTCGAGCATTTAATGTTACTTTCCTGTATGTGATAGCATTAAAAGCCCGGATTCTCAAGCATTTAATGCTGTAATTTTTTGACTTATCAAGCCAAGGTAAATGTCTTGTCAACTGATAGTATATTGAATGAGTATCTTTATTGGCTGCATATTAACCGGGTTAGGCCTGTCTTTTTACTCCCTATGGTGTACTCATCGCCACGTGTCTAACATTCTTTGGTCGAATGTCCAGCTCAACCTGTTACCCTGAATGCATTATGTAGGGTGTTTTTGCAGTCGCTAGCTTGACTTAGGCTGTCCACCTGTCAGTCCCCAATCTTCTCAAGAATCGAGGATTTATGAGCTGAGGTACAAGTATTAAAACGAGTGAGTGGGATCACAGAAAGTACCCTCAGGACCGAGGGTGTCGCAACCGAGGGAGATATCTTTGCACCAATGCTTGGATCCGAGGACACGTGGCTCGGGCAAAGCGAGAAAGAACCCTCGGCGTCGAAAACACGCGTCACCAATCTAAGACACTTCTGAAAAAGTCTCATCAAAAACTGTTCTCAAATCATCGAAAAGAACAGTGTTCGAATTATTGAACCCCAATAATGGACCCAATTAAGTCCCCCCAAGTCCAATATCATGAAATTGGCTAAGATATTTGGGTCGGATCAATATCTCTTTCTTACTTTTTTGGTTGATAAAAAATTAGGGGTGGAGTGGCAATCGTCCGATTGGGTTGAGTTTGTATTAAATTATTTCAAGTTTGTATCGAATATTAATTAACTCTAACTCAACCCGTTTAACTAATTGTATTATATAATGTCGATTTATTTATCTTCGTAGTGTGTTCATGTTGACACATATAATTTGTGAATAAAAAATTCAATACTCATTTTTATGTTTAAAATTTTATTATCACTTAATCAAACATGTGTTTTTTATTTTTTTACAAAAATTAGATCATAAAATACAATAAATAAAAATTAATATTTTATTTTTATAATATTACTTAAAATTTTCAATGTCAATTTCGTATTGTTTGTTTTTTTTTTATTCATTCAAACAACTTATTTATTATTCTTATTAATGAAGCGCGTTTTAAGGGTTTACCGACCCTTAAAAAACCAATAACACCATCAGCTCCGAATTGGAAATCTAGCGTGTGTCTCTGTGTGAGGGGGAGAGAGCGAGATGCTGAGGAGAAAGCCGAGCAAGATTGAAGTGAGAGTAGAAGACAAAGAAGAACTCGAAGAAGCCCGCAAACGCGCGGCCGCCGCCACCACCACCTCTACCACCGGCGCCACCTCCCTCCTCCACCACTTTGACCCCGCCTCTAAACACCACCCCTCCAAATCCCAACGCATAGGCCTCTCCTCTTGAAACCCACCCCGAAAACGCACCCAGCGTCGACGTTTTATGAGTATCAACTTCACAACCCTAATCCCAATTCTAAGATACATACCCATATACATAACAATATCCCCACATATTGTGAAAGAAAATCCAATCCGACGCCGTTTTGGTCTGTATCAATACCCAAAACCTAGACCGAGCCCTAGCCAAAGAAGACAATCGATCATGGAGGTGGAAGTGAAGCTTCGATTACCAGACTCAAATGCGCACCAAAAACTCCTCTCTGTCCTCTCACCATTCCACACACAAACCCACCACCAACACAACACTTTCTTCGACGGCGCCGCAGCGGAGCTCTCCTCCCGACGTGCCGTCCTTCGTCTCCGATTCTATGAAAATCCAGATAAACCCCCTAGATGCATTGTTTCTCTCAAGGCAAAGGCCGTAATTATAGACGGAATTAGCCGGGTTGAAGAGGATGAGGAGGAATTAGACTCATCAATTGGCCTTGAATGCGTAGAAAATCCGAAAAAGCTTTGTTATGTGGAGGAGTCGAGGGTGCTGACGAGAGCAAAAGAGGAATTTGGAATTGGGGAAGATGGGTTTGTGGGGTTGGGTGGATTCAGGAACGTGAGGAATGTGTTCGGGTGGAATGGGGTGAAATTGGAGGTAGATGAGACAATGTATGAGTTTGGGACTTTCTATGAGGTGGAATGTGAGAGTACGGAGCCGGAGAAGGTGAAGGGGATGATTGAAGGGTTTTTGAAAGAGAATGAAATTCTGTACGAGTACTCTGAGAAGTCAAAGTTTGCAATTTTTCGAGCTGGGAAGTTGACATAGTAAGTGTATGGTAAGGGGCTTTGTGATTATATATTTTGATATTTGTCTCGTGATTGATTAATATCTTCTATTCTCGTGATTGATCAATAGCTTCTATCCATTTGTTTGGTATTCAATAAATTGTTTGTAATTCTGTTCCATTTTCTAGGTTTGGAAGGAGTTCTGATATGGTCTTTAATGGTTTGTCCATTCTTTGTTTAAGTTAGTTACATTCAAAACTATGATGGGCTTTTTCGATATTGTATTTCTTTGTTTATGATAATATTAAGCTGTGGGAATAATGCTTTTTCGAGCTGGCAAGTTTCATGAGTAAATGATTTATAATTTAATTTGTGAGCCCATGTTTTCTTATTTCTTCTTTGAGTTATGGATGTGAACTACTTGTTAGAATGAAATGATGGGTATTTTTTATTCATTTTTATTGATTTTGGCTTTTAGTTAGGTGTCAGAGTAAGTGAACTGTAATGGGATCTGTGTTCTTGCTAATGTACGTTACTTTCTCATTTGAACTGAAGATTGAAACCAAGATTTAAAGCCATGGTATTTGATTGCCGTGAGGCCATATTTTGATGCAGCTATGGCTTCATGTTGCGATATGCAACAATACACTAGTTGTAGGCCTCAAGATAACTTTCACAAGAATCAAATAAAAATTCCAAAAAAACTGACAGCAAAATGGAATGTTCCATAAGGACTATATAGCATATAGAATATAGTCTACATAATACGTCCTAATAAACTTGAGGCCGTTCATTCGAATTTGAGGCACCACTTTGTGCAAATTATGCCAAAAATCTGGTCTATACTCGGTCTATTCCTCCTAAACCCTCATTTATGTGTAAAGTGGAATGTACTTTTTTAATAGTCTAACTGATGAACACACCCTATTGGACTTGTCTGGTACAATTTTGCACACTTCCTACCTTAATTTGTTGAATGCCAAGTAGTAAAGTTGATGGTTCTTTACTACCTATGAATGTACAGAGGTAACTTGAATCTTTTCGAAAAGTAAATAAACGGGAGGTTTAGCTTAAAAAAGGTTTAAGAGGGGCAGGTCTAGATAAATGGTAGCATGACGTAGAAGAGAAGCAGGCTAAAATTTTGCATCTACAAGGAAGAAATCTGATTCATTTAAGCCTGCTAATAGATCTGCGAAGTTCTCTCTCTCTCTCTCTCTCTCCCCCCGATCTCTTTTCATTTGTTTTGGGTATTACCAAACCTAGCCTAGCCTTCGTCAATCACTCTCTCTGTCTCACCTTCTTTTTGCTGCTTCTTTCCTTTTCTTATTTTCCAAAAATTGGGCATGGTTTACCTTTTTGAATAAAATGAATGCAAACGCAATGCCTCTAGTTGGAGCAACTTGGTCACATTTCCCATAGAATTATTGAAAAGATTTATGACCAAAATACTGAAAACGTGTCAAAACCTCATTTGTCTGGAATATTTTCGTAATCTAACTCTAAATGAGTTTCCTACTAATTTGAACTCCCTTAAAGAGTAAATTGTTGTCTTAATGTTTTAGAGATGTTACAAAGGTGTTTAGTCGGTGCTAAAAATTGGAATTCCATGTTAACTTCTATAGCCTACTGTTAATTCCTTGTTAGTGGGCTTGTGAATAATTCTGCCTAAACTACCAAAAAGAAAAAATGGAAGAATATACTTTAGGAAATGTGAATCTTAATAATATTGGTAAGAAGTCAAATAGTAATAATGTCCCTCAAAACAGGCAGTAAGTCGATTGAATGCTTTAATGGTTGTTTTATAGTCAAAGAAAATTTGTTTGTGTTTGGCAATTAATATGCATTTTATCATGTTTATTGTCATGCATATATCAAATGTGAACAATAAGTAGAATCATAGGAGGATGAAAGAAGACGTGCCATTATTATGTACTAGAGTGCTCAGTGGTAGGAAAATCAAGGGCCTATTTGGTTTGAATTTTAAAAACAGTTTTTGATCTCAAATTTCTAAAAACAAGGAAGTTGTTATTTTGTTGGTTTTTTTGTTCTCTAATTTTTTGAAAATTTTAGAAATTGAGATGTGATTGTAGAGAACAACATTTTGTTGTTCTCGGAGTTTTTTGAAGCAAAATGAAAATGCAGAAAACATACCTCGTCTCCAAATTAATGAGGTCTCCACTTCGAGCCTTCTTAGCAACAAAAAACAGTACTGAGTATAAAACCTTTTTTTTTGTTTGCTTATCTCTCTTCTCTCTCTCTCTCTCTCTCAAATTTTCTCACTCCACTTCTGCACGAAACCAGAGGACAACAAACGCGCACAACGTCTTCTTTGGCGAAACGGTTTTCTCCAGCGATTGAAGATCTTCTTCTCCGTCGATTGAGGGCTCTCTGATGACTGAGATCTTCAGATGAAGGATTTTTTTTTAAAGATCTGAGCATTTTTTCAGATCTGGATCTTCTCCAACGAAAGGGTTCTTCTTCGGCAAATGGGTTCATCGTCTTCTTCGTTGACTAAGGCCTCTCCTACGACTGAGAGCATCAGATCTAGGTTTTTTTTCAGAACTGTGTATTTTTTCAAATCTTAGTTTTATTTTTTTCATATTTAAGTCTTCTCCAGCGAAAGAATTCTTTTCTGGCAATTGAATTCATCTTCTTCGTCGTGTACCAGAGGCTGTGTATGTTTAAAACTTGGATGGATCTTGGATTTTGGATTTTTGTTCTTCTTCTCCGTCATATACCAGTTCAGTCGATGGGTTCGTCTACTCCGGCAAAGCTCCGTCGATGCAATTCAATCAATGGCTAGATTTTTTTTTTGTATTTTATCAAGTTTATTATATTAAAATATTGCAAGCTTTCAGTTTGCATCTCTTGCCATGTGCATATACAAACAGGTTTTCTATTTTTTGTTTTGCACAACTGTTTTTAAAAATATATAACCAAACAAGTTTTGCATCACAAAAAATACCAAAACCAGTTTTCAGAATTTTTTCCAAAAAACAGTTTTCGGATATTATTTTCTGAGACGCAAACCAAACAGGCCCCAATATTTCCTACTTTTTGTTTTTATCAGCAGTCTCATCTCTTGGGACTTTTGGTGTTGTCACACTTAGAAAGGAAATGAGCACATATATCTTTGCCCTTTAATTAATTAAGATGTTGTATATGAAATTTGGAACTCGATGGTTATCTCCTATCCTAATATCTAGCATTACCAATGTGTTAATTTTATGTTGCTTGTCAAGCTGCTGTTCTTGAAATATGATTATCAAGTTTCCATAGCCCATACTAAGGTTGCGTTATACTTTCATCCTTTATTTCTTTTGAGTTACTCTGCTGCAGGATTAATGACCATCTGTAGGAATGTATTCATCACCGAGACATTGCACTTGAAGAGATTCTAGTAATAAAGCTTTTTCTCTTGTAGGCGACTGCTCCAGCCATGCCTCTACAGCTGGCAGCAGCAACTTTCCATATTCTATGACATCATTTATGGCTTCAAGACCCCATGCAATTTTATCCTTTCTTTATAGCAAGTTGCTCTGCTGAGTTTAGTGACCATCTATCTAGAACTGGGAATTGAAGAAGTTCTAGCGAATCTTTTTCCATTGTAGGTGATTGCTCTAGTCAACATCTACAGCTGGAGTTAGCAACTTTCCATGTACTACTACATCATTTTATGTTTGAAAACTAAATATGGCGACTTTGGTCATGTTGTTTTTACATTTATATGTATGGTTAATAAGTTATTGAATTGGCAACCGCATTCATGACCATGTGATTGCATAACATTATGCTATTTTGGATGACTTTAAAATGTTATAAATCCTATTATTTTGGGCAATGTTAGGTTGCGTGTTTGTCATATAGATGTATTAGAACAATCAATTAGTAGAGAAGATTTTGAGTTTAACCTGCAATCTTAGCTTCTTAAGATCTTTGTTATATGTAAGTTTGGCCCATCATTCGGTTACAGTTTTCATTGCCAATAATATTAGCAGAACCCTCCTAAATTAGTTCTTTTCTTGAAGGGTCTACCTCATACATTTGTATTCATTTATTACCACACGGAATTGCTAAATGAAGTGAGTAATTGCTTCTTGCATTTTTTGCTTACTTCGCCTTAACTTTGTTCTGTTTCTGAAGGATCATGACATGAATGTCCATTGTTTCATTGCTGCTAACGAGGATAAGGAGTAAATGAAGTGCGTTAACATGATAGCAATTTTCATGCCATGGATTTTAATTCACTTCATATTTCCAAACACTTGAAAGGAGTTTGAATGTCAAGTAGACAATTAAACTCAGAAGATCTCTTGGATTTAAAAAACTACTGCTTGCATTATTCGTTTAGCTTATTCCTTATCCTGATAATCCTATTTTTTTGCATCTAAAATAATTAGAAATATGATTTTATTTGTTTATATTTAAATATGTTACATATGATGGAGTGTCATTTTTTTCCCTTCCTTGGAAGGGTGACATGCGGGTGCTTAGTTCAATCTATTTCTTTCTCTCCCCATGAATTGTGTGTTTGTAACAATAGGGATAGAACTTTCTCAATTTCAATCGATTATGCATATTGTGCCGGTTCTAGTTCTTTTGAGTAACATATCTAATCTCTTATTACCCAACAACCATACCCTTGTTCTTTTGAGTAACATATCTAATCTCTTATTACCCAACAACCATACCCTTGTTCTTTTGAGTAACTTATCTAATCTCTTATTACCCGACAAACCTCATACCCATTCTTCCCGTATTCCGGCCATCTTGTGGGGCCCACACCCCGAAACGGCCCCAATTGTACCGTGTTACTCGCAAGTAAGAGTGACCGTGTTTCCATCTGGGATAATTTTTCATTCTGCATTTTGACAGAAAAACTTATTTGAGAGAGAACACTCAGAAGATCAACACATTGATTTCTCCCAAAATGCAGTACTATTTTCCATACAAAGGAGGGGAAATTTGTGGATACTTTTGCAGGTTCTACAAAAAACACCAAAAGCCCCAAGACAAGACCAACATATGCCTCCCTCCAGCCACTCAGCAGACAGCAGTAGGAGTCATTTTCCAATTTTGTAGCACAAATCGAAAAGTCGAAGGCAGGAATATGTGATAACAAATCCAGAATAGCAATTCATTCCACAAAATGAGATATCTATCATAACAATCTATCACAAGATAAAAAGCAGGAAGATCATTCTGAACAAGGATGGCTAATTTCCCACTCTACCAACACACATAGGCCAAGTATTCCCCTTCCTACAACATACTCCCGACTATGAGAAAACTAAAGAGAGACATACAATTACTTCATTTTCTTTTTCTTGGCCGGTGGTTGTTCCTCTTCATCTTCGGCTTCCTCCTCTTCTTCCTCTTTCTCATCACCATCACCATCACCATCGTCGTCATCGTCATCCTCGTCCTCGTCATCATCATCACTGCCCTCATTACCATTAGCCTCAGGATCCTCAGGGTCCCCTTCATCATCATCCTCTCCCCCCTCTTCACCCGAGAAATCCTCATCACCTGCATCATCATCGTCCTGATCATCACCATCATCATCGTCATCTGCATCATCATCCTCTGTATCACTAGCATCTTTGTTTTCAGGACCAGGCTGTTTCATTCTACGAAGTTCATCCATAGGAAACCTGCAAAATGAAGTTTGAACATACTTGTTCACTGGAATAGCACAATTTTGGGATGCAAATAATACCCGAAAAAAGAAAATTAGTACCTTCCATCAGTCCCAGTCAATGTAGGCAACTCCTCAGTATCCTTCAGCAGAGATCCTTCCTGAAAACATCGCTGATGTAGGTAAGAGAGCTTAAATGTATATAAATGCATGCAAGAAAGCAATGATGACATGTTTCCAACCAGCTCAACTCCAATATGGACTAAAAATTTGTATTTTATCTTTAATGCAAAGAAGAACAACTGGTAGAGAACGAGGAAGCAACAGATATGCAATCAGGAATCAACTCTACAGAGCCTTAATCCAACAACCAAACGAAATTGTGTAGGGATATACAATAACTCCGACTCATATATTGTAGAACCAAATCCAGTTTATTGTGAACATTTCAATTGAAGCTGGCTAAAAATGGTTTAAATATGTCCACACATTTCTAGTCAAGGATGAGAAAGTTTCAGCAAAACAGACCCTGATGTATACGCCACACAGAGTTGTTAAAAGAAATCCTCAAGAAACAGACCACAGGTTCTAGACTATCTAAATAGTAAAAACAAACCTTTGCTGCACTTCCATAAAGCTTCTTAATTTAATAAATGGCAAGACAAGTCACCTGTGTCATCCCAATCAGGCTTTACCGAACTAAATCAGGTTTACCGAGGCAGCAGATGTTATCAGGGTTGGCGGGGTTCCTCTACCTACTTTCGTTTCAAGGTTAATGAGGCCCTTATTCAATCAGATAGCTAGTGAATTCCCGTCGGCCTTTTTAGGTCAAATTCCATTAATTTTTTTGAGAGGCAATTTTTGTTTGTTGCCAACTCTTCGAGCTCCTGAAATATATAACATTATTAATTCTTCCTTTCACTAATCATCTCGTCTAGAATCATAAATGAGTTATCTACCCTTTGTTGATCTTTTCTATAAGTTCAAGCAACACGATCTGTCTATCGAAATGTAAATTGACATTGTCCTTCGCATTTACTATTATAAGCACTATCAGAAATTAATTACCAAACCTTCTATATACACAAAAGTAAAACTGCTGCCATTTTTGTACCTTCTAATCTACAAGACTCGTCATTTCTGCTTCCTAAAACAGTAAGACGAACACATTCTTACGCAATTCAAAACCAAAAAAATAATGTAGAATCCACATAAATGATAAGTACTAAGCAACAATATAGCGTGCATAAAAGGCGTACAATGAAATGAGTTCTGTATATTCGTATACACTGAAGAGTAGAGTACTAGAAATGAATTACCGTAAGATATCGTATATCTAAATCTGTCATTGTGAAAATATCACAGAATAAATATGTTCCCTTATTGGCAAGAATAGAACCAAAGGCCACTTAAGACCACAAATGCTCCAATAGTAAGAGATTCAAAATACTGATCAACTTAAACAAACCTCTCCAGTACCGTATACAACGAATCCAAGAAAACCCAGAATTCAAAAATCATAAAATCTGTCTTTTTAAATTTGAATATAACAGAAAGCAGCAGGATAAGAAGAACTTGCTTATAACATAACCTCACTAAGCAAAACCACTGGTGATAGAAAATCCATAGCTTCCCAATAAATCCAACACACAAACATATAATTAAACTAGCACAAAACATCAAAAAATCAAAATCCCAATAGCAACTGTGTATATCTACAAAGTATTTGTGCGTGTCATCGTGTGTGAGAAACAGAGAAAAGGGCTAGAAACGCCTAGAACCAAAATTCTAGCAGCAAAAAAAAAAAACAGGTATAAACTAGTAAAACCCAGTTGTTCAAACAAACACCCAAAGAAAAAAAAACAAAGCATAAAATCCAAGACCCGCATCATAAAAATCAAAACTTTGCAATAAAATTAGGGTAGAAAAAGCATATACCATCATGAGAAGACAAGCAAGATATCTCTCAGCTGCCAAAAGGGTCTCAACCAGCACAGCTTCAATAACAGAGCAAACCATCATTCTCTCCAAAGCAACCGCATCAGAGCTCAAAAACCCAACCTCCATTGCACCAACTGAAAAAACTACACAATAATTAGAGACAAAAACAGTTGAGTGTTTTAGAAAGAGAAACAAAGGGCTATGGAGATAAAAAAAAAGTAAACGAGGGAGAAGTTTGAGGTTACTGGGTTAGGGTTGTTTTTGGGTCATTGGGTGTCCAAACGAGTAAGAACAAAAAATTAAAAAAAGATAAAAAGATAAAAGATAATTTAGGGTTTTTGTTTGAACAAATTCTAGGGTTTTGTGGGTGTAAATTGGAATATTGTCTTTTTGTACAGTAAAATGTGATTTTTAGCTTTTGACTCTTCGAATCTAGCTTAAATTTATCTACTGTGATATCATTGGACTGGGTAGATGTGTGACAATCACATACTGGACTGGCGCACATAGCACGGCATTATAGTCATGTGGGTAATCGTTGAATGATTTATATTTATATTATTATAAAATATCAATAATAATGAAAAAATTTACTCTCCGATGAGAACTCCAATCAGATTGGCCGAGCCAGGCCAAGTATCAAATTGCTCAGATTGCATACGTTTATTATTAAAGAGTTGTTGGAATCTATTTAAGAATGTAATTAATTTAAAACGTCTTATTTAAACTCAACTTGTTAATATTATTTTACATGATTGACTATAAGCTTGACTTCACTCATCGGTCCAGTTTCAACATATGTTGGAACTTAAACTCAAAAGTTCATTCGTGTTCAAAATTCAACACGGTTTCTATATATACATATATGTATGTATTAATATGTATTGGTGAGCTTAACAAGTCAAACATATTCATTGCTTGATTTAGTTCGACTTTTAGAAGTTGAACTCACGCTCGGTACATTCAATAAATGAACAAATGCAAATGAGCTTCAATCCTAAATGACGTGATATATTTATAAATTAGTTTATTTTTTGGGCGTGAAGACATAGAGTAATAAAAAAAATAATCAATATATTTGTATTTACATCTAAAATTAAATTACAAACATAAAAGAGAGATAAAAAAATTTAAACACTGATTATAGTGAGGGTGAGCGGCGATAGTGATGGGTGAGCAATAGTGATGATGATGGAAGACGGTGATAGTTATGGTGGGTAAAGTGACGCCGTAGTAGTGTTAACAATCGTGGGTGACAATGGTGGTGTTGCTGGTGAGTTTTGAGTGTGATGATGATAGTAATGATAACCATGGATGACATCGGTGGTAGTGGACGACAGTAATGATAGTTGATAGTGGTGGTGGTGGGACGATAACAATAGTGGTGAGCGGTGGTGGTGGGCGACGATGGGGGTGCTTTTTTCTAGGTGACAGTGTGATAGATGGTGACAAATAACGACAATGATAAGTGTGGTGGGAGCATGTGATAGTGGGTGGACAACAGTGGTAGGCAATGACAAGATGATGATGATAGGTGTGGTGGAATAGGTGACAATAGCTAGTGATGGTGGTGGGCGACGATGAGTGCTTTTTCTCGGCGATAGTGTGATGGATGGTGACAAATAACGACAATAATAAGTGTGGTGGGAGCAGGTGATAGTGGGTGGGCGACAGTGGTGGGCGATAACAAGTGATGGGTGATAGGTGACAGTGGCTAGTGGTGGTGGGGGGTGCTAATGGTGGTAGTGGGATGATGGTAGTAATGATAATAAATATAAGAAAAAGATAATAATGGTGGTGGACGGTGGTTTATAGACGACGATAATACCAATCGATGGTGGGTGGTAGTGGCAATTGGATAGTGAGGGGCGGGGGTGGAGGTGGGACAGTGGCGATGGTAGTAATAGTTGTGATAGTTATGGGGGGTGATAGAAGGGTGGCGGGAGTGGAAGGGGTGATGGTTGGACAATAGCGGTGGTAGTAAGGTACAATAGCAATGGTGATTAGGGAATGTGGTGGTTGGGCGGTGGAAGTGGTGGTGATGGTGAGGATGGTTGTGGTAGTGATAGTGATGATGGTAGGGTGGTGGTGGGGCAATAGAAGTTGTGGGTATGGTAGGGTGATGATAATGATTATGACGACGACGGGAATGGTGACAACGATAGTGGTAGTGGTGTTGGTGGTGGAGTGGTGAGGGTGGTGGTGGTAGAGGTAGTGATAAAACAGTTTCAAACATTATTATTTTTTAAATACTTTTAACAAGTAATTCTTATAAGTATTTTTAAAAAGTCACTCCAAACACACATTTAAAGACCTATTTTTCTTATTCAATATAGGGTGCTAATATTAGTTGTTAGATTAATTTTAAATTAAAATTTAAAGCGATCTCAACCACGAATAACAAAAGTCATTTTGTTTATGTTTTGAAATTTGAATTGTATTTTATTTTATTATATAGATAATTTGATTTGTTTTATATTTGAATAAAGAATTATTTTTTTAAAATTTAAATTTGAATAAAGATTTAACTAAGAATCGAAGATGTTATTAAGAGTTAATTGTCATTCCACGGCGTAATGTGAATAATTTTGATAATGTTGTTAGTAGCCATTAAATGAGTTTATTATAGACGGTTAGATAAATTAATTAAAATCTGATATATTTTATATTATGTATTCATTCTCCCACCTCGAAATAACTGAATATACAGTTGACCCATTAATCATTATTTGACACATCCCAACTTATTATAAGCGCCAAACTAAGGGTGCGTTTGGTCACCCATTTAAATGTCTTTCTGTCACCTTTTTGGCTGTCATTAAGCTGAAGCGTAGTTAATCTGAGCCTTTTTTTGAATGGTTCAACTACTGGCGAGATTACGGTTCTTCACTGAGGTATCAAGCGAATTTTTTATTTTGAAATTGGAGATTTAAGTCTTAGAGTTCATATTAAGACTTAGTGATTAACCGTTATATTAGTATATTTGAATTTGTTTTTAAGAGAAATAATAGACATAATAAGAGACCTCGTGATCGCAATAGTTAAGACTTATCGAGAAGACATTATTACCATGAAACACATTATTAAATTGGGCATTTTGCAATCATTTATGATTATTTTCACGAAATCCAATTTAAAAAATTTACTGTTTCCATAATTTTGGAAAAGTGGTAAAGAAAAACACAACTCACCATACCTTTCCTACGAAGCTAATTACATAATAAAGCTTTTATTCTGACTTAACCAATTCTCTTGGTTCCCAAACATCCCCTTAATAATTCCAATAATCAGACACATCCATAAATCTAAGATTAAACAAAAATGAAACATATGTTTTGTAGCATTAGAGATACTCCATCCGTTCCTAAATATCTGTCGTTTTACACAATTTTTTTTATTCCATAATATTTATCGTTTAATGAAACTAAAACATAATTAATATTTTTTTTTCTAAATTTTTTAATGCATTAAATTAGGTGGAGACTAAGTGCCTTTCATATTCCTTTCTTTCCCGATACGTATTGAATAAGAGTATTTTAGTTTTGTGCAATTATTTTTTACTTGTTATTTAATAACTTCCTTAATTTCTGTGCAAAAACCTTAAACAATAAATATTTAAGAACGAAGAAAGTAAAATTTTCTTAATTCCAATTAATTGGACGTATTGTGTTAGTTCTTTTTGAGTAGTAAATTTGAAAATATATGTAGTACACGTATCGATGCAAACCTCTATCGTTACTCTCACCGCACACACCTCGCACAACGACTCCTAACTCCAAGTAAAAAACTAGTTCAAAACGATACAATCCAAAAACTAACAACATGGCTTGGTTATCAGGCAGCACCATTTTTCTACGTCTCATTGGCGAAAATTCAAATAGTGATATGATCGCATTTTAGAGGATGTCCAAACGCAGCCTTAAATGACTTATTAACGATTTCGGATATCTTTGAAAGTAAAATAAAGGGTTAATTACACTGTATGTTCTTAAAGTATAACATTTATCTCATTTTGGTCTATAATGTTTCAATTATAATATTTTATCTCTGAAACATTAAATATATTTATATATGGGTCCCTCTAGATTGTTAATAATTTTTTATCATAAACTTGTCACGTGATACTTAAATATAGACAAAAAAATAATTTGGACAACTCTTGACCAAATTTCTATTCAAATTTTAGTTAAATAGTTACCTAAATAATACAGTTTTGATTATGAACTATCAAATTTTTGGTTAAAAACTATCTATATTTACACAATTTTTTTGTCAAGAACTATCCCAAATTTTATTTAAGAGCTATTATTATAATTATTTTTTGTCCATATTTACGTATTACATAATAAGTTTATGATAAAAAATTATTAGTTATCTGTGCGCTATCTGTTTGAAAGAATATATATAAATATATTCAATACTTTAAGGACTAAAATGATGCAATTAAAACATTAGAGACCAAAATGAAACAAATTTTATTTTTGGGACTTCGAGTGTAATTAATCTTAAAATAAAAAAATAAAAAATAAAAAAAATCTCCGGATATCCATATGCGATTGGAATTGGCTTCTGGTTTTCGTTGTTTCTTCGTGGCCCCAAGCCTAAAGCCTGCACTTAGTCAACTCTCTCTATATTCTCTTTCCTCGAAGAAGCGCTACAATCATATATACAGACACGATACATATATCAATTAGTATATGTGTATGCATTGTTCATCGAATTCTCTGTAAGTGAATCGATTCATTTGTTAAGGGATTGGAATTGGTATATTTGATAATTAGCCGGTGTATTTTTGGTAATTTTTTGATGGCGTCGGAGATCGAGGTGGTGGAAGAGGTGGAATCGAGAGATCGGGAGTCTTCTACTGCGGCGACTGGCGGTGGAGCAGTGGAGGAAGATAGTTTGAGGAACGATGTGTACACGGCGGCGGCGTACGGGGATATGGAAAAGCTGCAGAGATTGGTGGAGAGGGAGGGTGCCTCGGTGTCCGAGCCTGATGGGCTTGGTTATTATGCTCTCCAGTGGGCTGCTCTCAACAACCGCACTGCTGCTGCTCAGTACGTCATCGAGGTTTACTTTCCCCTTTATCTTCTTCATCTTCTTCTTCTTATCTCTCTCCTTATACTGCCATATTGTTTGTATGTTTCTGTATATTTTATGTCTGACTGTATCTCTGTCTAGGAGTTTGATTAAGATAAAAACATTTTTTTTTCGGAAGGTTCTAATTACTAAATAAAAATTGGACAGCTGTGTTACTGCTACTTGTAGCTGCCTTTCCATTCCCACTTATCCATGGGAGGTGATTCAAAGAGAGAGATAAAAACTTGAGCTATTGATTTGTTGGATGTGCTTTGCACCTGTAGAATCTTTGTCTCAAACTTATATTGAGCTGAAAATGTGTACTTTGGGGGAATTTAGTTTGTGTTTTTCAAGATTGAAGTGTTTCTGATTTACATGTTCTATACGGATGGATTGGTTGGCGTTGTAGGGTAATCTGAAGTCAAGGGTTATCTAACTCTTGAACATCCGCTGAGCTACAAGTATGTTAACTTTACTTGTGTAATGAAGGATAATAGCAATAACCCAGGCCTGAAGCCACTATACACTATACAGCAAAAAAAAATAGAGCACTTATCGCGGAATACTATTTAAAAAAAAAATCAACTTGTGTAAACAATTTATTCATTTAGAATAAAACACTAAAATGCTATTTATTAAAGAAAGACTATTTAACATAAAAAATATATGATTATAAAGTTAATATGCATGAAACAGTGGACTCTCATGCCAATAGTAGTCTTCGATGGTTAGCAACTGGGTGATGGTAGAAGTACCCGCAACCAGGATCATGCTTTGAATCAGATCTAAGAAAAAATTATCTTCATCAACCATTCATTATAACCTCTACAATCACAATTTAAAAAATAAATTTTAAAATCGTTAATAGCCAATTATTCTTTTTTGGTCAGCGTTAACACCCAATGCAATAGAACCAAAACCAAGTAATTGTGCTGAAATCTAACCCCTGCTAATAACATAAGTAGAAAGAAAGGTTATGTAGCCAGAAAACAAGTTATTCACAGTGTGTATTTTGTTAACAAATAGGAATAATAAGCTGTGTAGTCTTTACTCACACACTTGTTACTCTACCAATGAACACTTGTCATGCTTCCTATAGAGTTTAAAAGATATATTGCATTATGCACATATTACAAACATATATCTCAAAATTAGCTTAGAGTAGACTATAAAAACTGGGTGCTGGAAAATGGAATCATCAAATCACCAAACAAATGACCAAAATTTCTATGGTCGATGCTAAGGCATTAACAAACATACTATAAAAGAAATTCCAAACTTAAGAAAATAATTTCAAAGTGATTCGATCCATTAATAAGCAAAAAGTAGACCTAATTCACCGGAAGCCGATGGTATTAAGGAAAATAGGACCAACTTGGTATAAATATGAATAAAAACAATCAATCACTGCACCGGGGGGGGGGGGGGGGGGGGGCCGGAGGGTGAAGACAAAATCATACTTTTCAGAGCAAATTTCTGATTTTAAAATTATAAAACCAATTAAAAGACTTCAATTCAAATAGATAGAATCCAACATCAACTTAAAAAATAACTCTTGTCACGAACCCAATTCATCATATACCCTAAAACTACCAAAATCCAACTAATTTTTATCAATCAACAAACACCCATAAGATCAGCCAAAATCATGTATTTGTACCATAGTCATTAACCACATGATAGAGACATAGCCATTAATCACCATGACAAACCCAACACCATACCTCTCAAACTGGATGTTTTGCTAGCTCTTGCCATGCCCTGGACCTAAAGATTTCTCTACAACC